AACTACAAAGGCTTTGAACCAGATCATATTCACATTATTTATCATTTCAAACAACTTTTCTGCAATATTCGAACAGAAACTGGTTATATGGATTGGAATATTCCAGCCAAGTACGGAAATCCTTGGATTTAGTGACGTATCAAGATTTTGTGACACCTGGTTCGGAATTTCAACTTGACAACAACTCCCTGAGTCACCTCTACCAAGTATCCGGATACTAGCCCCTCCTGCTCTATCCAATCATACCTTAATATCTCCTTCCTGACTCGATTGTGCTATTTGCTCGCTGTGTACTCCACCCCCCACTTGAAGAAGACAAATTAATAAATGACTTAGCTACAATTGTAGTGATCGAATCTAAACTATAGCTAAAATCGGTCCGACGTGTTTTGCTACTCTTTGCTAGAAAAATACGCCCTAATCATGAGCATTCTTAGATCAATTATTTGACACCCCAACAGGGCTGGATCGCCCTCCTCGAACCCCCCTTTCTACGCCGCTGCGTGAATTATAAACGTTTTTAAGCACTACAATCACAGGTACCCTATTAATAACTGTCGAATTGACGTTGATTGTGGCTAGTTCCGTTCCACTGTGATAATTTCAAGACAACTAGATGTTCTGTCACACAACACTTGCAGCCAAAAGCACCGTGGCAACATGGGAATAATATCGTATTCCCTTGTCGACTGTTGGATAGGTTATGTTAAGGATCGTTGAACACATGTGAAGCAGGTGCTCCTCTACTACTGACTCGGTCAGGCCGAGTATACGTTTATGTTTTTTCGTTATTTTATTGGTAGTCCACCTGCTTTTCTCTTTCTCCTGTTCTGCTGCTGCTGATGGCCATTACCGGCCGAACGGCCGAAAGGGCCGTTATACGTTACTTCACGCGCTTATACTATAACGTGGAGGCTATTCCCACGCACGTACACGTTGATTGGTGGTAATGATAAGTATTACTAGACCATTTTAGTTGTTATAATTCCCCATGCTTGTCTGACCAATAAAACCACATGTATAGGCAGATTTTCTTAATTGTAGACATTTCAATTACAAAGGTGATCTTCTGCAGAGCAGTGACAATATATTTGATTTATCTGTCTCCCAGAAACCATTGTCTTTCTAATTCTTCCATGGGCTGCCCAACTAACAATTATCACTCCTATTAGAGTTGCAAGAATGATTATTCAGTATTCCTTACACAGCATTGTATACTGTAAGAACATTGGCAAAACCCTCTTAGAACAGCTGTACAAGCGGAATGGGCACACCTAATAGGACACTTCAGTCATTTAAGAGGTTGTATAAGGGATGCAGGTAACAGTTATACAACAAAAGTGTAAGCCTCTTGCAGCCGCTATAGGACATTTGCGTCAGTACAAGATTCAGTTTTTGTCAACTATACAACTATTCCGTTACGGGATTCTACTTTATTACAACCAAACTATTTCTTATGTATTGTATAGACGAAGAAGAATATATAACTAACACATTACAGTCATCTTGTTTACTTACATATCGGACATTGTGAATTTCATACACAAGTATATGATAAACGTCAACGCTGTGATGTAGGGCTATTGAATTACTTGCGCAGCAAATTTTATTGTGATTATCGTGAAAAGTAGTTACGCAATTTCTACAGGCTTTGTATTTGATTCATATTTTAATAATGATCAAAAGTATGTCTAGATTGTTAAGATGGAAAACTGAACTTATCTGCGTTAAATCTTCCACAAATCTTATATTTAGACACAGTTACACTAATGTTTATCACTTTATATCTGAAATTTCGAACCGAAAAATAATTATTTAATATTAAATAGAGGAATAAATGTTTGCCCAATATAGCGGGTGGTTGTGTATAATCATAACATCATCCATGTTGTCTTTAGTTTAGTAGAATATTTTGGTGTTGCCTGCAGGTGTTATACAACAATTTGACAAATGTCTGAAATGAAATACCGACAGAGTCGAATGATTTACCCAGAATTTGTACCAGATTTATATCTTCTGCTTGAACAGTTGATAAAACCTTTTGAACCAATATGCCTGCGTTGTTTGTCTTAAAACATTGGTTATGGCATTTTAACAAAAATATGACAGCAGAAGTCTAGATTATGGTGAAGTTGTATACCAACATATTTAGCAACAAATGTATGCCGAGCACCGCAAATTTTGTACTACAAAAGTTGTAATATTGTTGCATATGTACAGCCTTTAACAGTACTGAACAACAGTTGTATAAGTGCTTCCGTTGGGAGCAATTTGTTGGCTAAAGTAGTAAATTTGCACAGCAAAACAACAAGGCTCGGGTTTGTTTTATAAACGTTACCATGGATGCCCCAACACAACCATTTTGACTAACGTGCAAATATGCCGTATAAAATAGTTGTATAAACGTTTATGCAGCAGTTAAAAATTTGTCCTATAAGGTGTCGTGTGCTATAAGAATATTTTAAACACCTCATTTTAGAGCAAATCTGTTGCAGAAAGCAAATTTGCATTCCACACAACATTAAGCCAGCATTTTGGTGTTCAGGCAACGACAATATAGAGCTTTTATAGCTGAACGGTTCTTTTACCAAAAGCTTATAGCACTACTTTGCTAGTTGGGTGTGACCCAATTCGGTTGGATCTCCTTGAAGGAAAGATCCAATTGATATGCTCCAAAATAACTAATGGGCCATGAGTTTTTTATCCAGGTTTTTTGTCGTGATTTTGTTTTTGAGTCTCAAACTGATGTGTTTTATATTATTTTTCGCACGACAAACAACATTCCCTAGATGGTGGTGTTGTATTTCTGGCGTTTCAGATGCGGTCTGTTGCGACAACAGTTCTGGGTGGGGTTTAGCGTTTTTTGGAGGGATATCGGTGTTTTTGGGACGATAGACGAGGGAGACGCATCTGATACATTAAAAAACGACAGATATTCGCTTGTCGTTTTGAAAAGTTGGACCTCCTATTTTGGAAACGACAATGCCAACCCCCAAATTCATTATGTTACGCGGCTTTAAGACTATTATATAAGACAAATAGAAATGTGATAATGAAAAGAAAAAACAAATAAACTGTCACCTCGAAGACAGATAAATAATATGCTGTCATGGTACTGAAGACGATCAGCTTTGTGACTGAAACTATTACAGAAAAGAATATCTGTCAACACATGTGGTTTTCTAGGCCAGACAATATTGGTTTGATACTCTTTCGAAAAGATATTTTCAATGAAAGTCCAATCTTAGCAAACACAAATCATATGACTTTTAAAAAAGTTACATGAACCACGTGAAAGTGAGTTTAAGGGTGGATTTCACCAGGATTGTCAAATCAACAGTCCGTTATTCTCCACCTATAGGGTAACAGTCCGTCAAATACAGCGAATGAGCTTCAAGTACCAGTCAACAAATTTTAGTAACCAATAGCTATGAAATGTTGAAAACAAAATACTGTCAAAGTATGAGATGACATCTTGTCTTTTAAAAAAGTGTTCGATTTTTGAATGAAATTCATGTTTTTATTTAATATTGTCGATAGTTTATTCATGTTTATATTATTTTCTTCAATTGATATGCGATTTTACTGATTCAACATCACCTACCGTGTGTTTTTCCTATAAAAGTCTTGCAGATAGCCATTAAGCACCTACTTGATGACGCTCTACCAAAAATTTCATAGACATTCGTTCATTTACTTGCCGTTCATCAGTACCATTATAGCACCGTCGACTAATATTCCCACAAAACCATTCTGGATTTTTGATATCCAAAATATTTTTTGGTTGTACAGGAACTGAACTCCCCAACGAGTGACACATGTGTGGGTCCGTTAATCCTTGATCCCAGTGGAGTTAGCTCCCCCAACTGTTGAAATATACTCTACTATGCTTTATAAGACTATACGTGGAAATTTTCCCAAAATCGTTGCACAGTACTTGAAAAAATGCAAATGAGAATTTAAAATTATTTCCATGACGCCGCAAAATAGCTCCGTCGGTACCTCGGGTTATACATCTTGACAGTAGGAATGTTCGATAGGATCCTATATTTAGAAGTATCGATATTTTTGCTACCCAAACCCGATATTTTGGACCGATATTTTTATATACGACACTTGGCTCTATCGATAGCTTTCACGAATATCGTCATCTTTCGATCCCGACTGTGTCAGAAAGGGTGACTAACTTCAGATTACTTTTCTTCTTTTTTTCCTTCCGCCGGATATCGATAATTTTATTCCAAAATTTTAGAGTATCGATACTTCCTAAAACGATAAGAATCGATACATAACGATACTTTGGAACTAAACATCCCTTATCTTGACAGCTTGTCGTTCTTGTCAACTGGGCTGCAGGGTGTGGTGTTGCCTTTGCTACCTTACATTTTGCTAAAATCTTATGACAAATAAAAGCTTTTGTGAAATGATAAAAATTTGAAATTCTATGAAAGTTAAGTAAAGGATTATATTTGAAAAGTTATTTTGACAGTTCAACCTTCTAAATATAAATAAAATTCTATTCTGAATTTTCGAAAAAAGACTAAAAAAGTTTCGAATTTTCCTAAAAGCTCTGTCAAAAATATGTTAATAGAGAAGCTGAATTTTTTATTCTGCTTCAATTTTGAGGAATTCTAAAATAAACGAACATAAAAAAATCTGACGACTTCTTTACCAACTTTGGTTTATAGACAAAGAGGGCTACTATGGCAGAAACTTTTATGCCTGGTAAGGATTATAAACCATGCCCGCTGCTGTAAAAAAAAAGAAAAATCGGTCTTTGTCCATCGGGTTTAGGAAGCTCAATCAGAGGTTGAAACGTCTTTGTGTATGACAAAAGCTTCAACGTAGAGCCAAAAATGACTCACCACAGTTCACCAAACTTTAAAATTCGGCGTAACGCACGTACATTACCGTGCTCGTGTAATTAACGATTGTCAACGCAACAATGCTAATGAAATAATTCGAAGCTTTAAACATCCACTTCCGTCGCTCTCAACGAGATGGAATCTACAAGTTACTAGCCGGTAAGGTTTTCATTTTATCTCTCTATCTCTCTCTTTGATGATCCTGAAGCTCGTATACAGTGTGATACATCAAATATTAGTAATACTTCTAGAGCAGAAAGTGCATGAATGAATAACAAAAAATGGCGTGAAATAAGTAGACGCTGTTCGTAAAGGATCATGTTCGGCACAGGTTAGCCCTCCTACCCCTGAGAGAAATATTTGCGGGCGCACATAGCCGTTGCTATGATTAATGCCCCGTGAATGACTTTTGCAGCATTCAGCCCCCAGCAGCACGGAAGTGACTGCCGAATATGTCGCACGTATCGACACGTGACTGAAATGTATCTGATAGGGTCTGATATACCAACATCAAAAATTGGGATATATCGTCACTCACCACCTGAAACCCCTAACCCCCAATTTTGAACCCCATACAAAAATTTTTCGAAAATGATTGGTTGAGCGATTCTTACTTTTTTTGTTTTTGGCCTCTTTCTTCGCCGCCACTGGACAGATTTTCAAAAACTACAAAGCTTTTTCGTCCCTGGCGTAGTAATAAGCTTGTGTGGAAATTTCATACAAATCTGAATGGTACTTACGAGATTGGCGAGACACACAAACAGCATTCCTTAATATCCTTTGGTAGCCTATTAAATACTTTAGGTTCCAGTGTATCGGGAAATTTGATACCAACATTGTATTTAGCAAAAGCTACATTCAAATCATGCTGCTTGGTTTTCTAATATACTCATAAATCATAAAAAGGTAACTTTATTATCAAAAACACACTGACAGTTCATATAAAAACAATGAGGGAAGGGATACAATTTTTAATCACCTAAAAATATCTTTAAGCGAATTAAAATATCTTTAAACGAATTTAAACTGTCATCTCTAACCAAACATCTAATTGCTCTTTTTTTATTCAAAAAAACCTGCTGAGCGTTAGCTGTCAAACCCCAGAAACACAAAGCGTATCTTAATCTTGACATTATTTGGACATAGTAAATAGCAACTAACTGACTCTCCCAAACAACTGTTTTTAAATTTATGATTGCATATTTTTGGGAGTTTAATTTTAAGACTAGACGCTCACAATGGTCTTTAAAATTTATGTATTTTTAATTACTTATAGCTTTTATTGCTCAACCGATAATATTCCATTTATAGGCCAAAATCTTAAATTAGAAATATTACAAAAGTCTAACTTATAAAACTATCTAAGGCGCTCCCGCAGAACACATTTCAGCTCCGAAATAGAACATAAGAATATGTCACAAAACTTACAAATACTATTATATTTCAAACACATAACCCTTTCAGGTGATTTCAAAATCAAACTTGTGTTAGCACGACTGCAAAAGAAAGTAACATTACATCTCAACGATTGGACTCAGTATCTGGACACTAAGACTCCTGCTGATATACTCTACTTAGATTTTTCTAGGGCTTTCGATCGCGTACCACATAGAAGGCTTCTGTTTAAGTTGGAATGTATGGGAATAAGAGGCGAGTTGTTGTTGTGGATTAAGGCTTTTCTCACCGGGAGGACTTTCTCTGTGCGCGTCAGTGATAGCCAGTCTCACCTTCATCATGTAGCAAGTGGAGTTCCTCAAGGCTCTGTCTTGGGGCCAGTGCTGTTCCTTCTGTATACAAGTGACCTGCCCGCATTGACTTCCTCCACATGTTCAGCTTATGCCGACGACACCAAGATTTACAATACTGTCGTAAATTCTGCTATGCTTCAACGAGATCTTGATATTGTTTGTCAATGGTCGGTCAGTTGGCTTTTACCCTTAAATCTAACTAAGTGTTGTGTCCTTCACCTCGGGAAGACAAATCCGCGATTTACATACAAGATCTCTGACCACAACATCGAAGCAGTTTCCAGCCACACTGATCTGGGCGTTGTAGTCAACGATCGTCTTTCCTGGTCAGAGCATATTCACCACGTTACATCAAAAGCCAAGAAACTTCTATACATGCTGGAGAGGTCTTTCAAAGGATCCGATGTCAACACTTGCGCCTATATTTACAAGGCATTCGTGAGGCCAATTCTTGAATTCGCTGGCCCGGTATGGGACACTGTGCTTCTGCGCGATAGAAATCTCGTCGAATCAGTACAGCGTCGGGCTACTCGTATCCCTTTTGGAGCACGAAGACCAAGCTATGAAGATCGCCTTGAATTATTCAACCTGACCTCATTCTCTGAGCGAAGACTTCGTGGCGATCTTATAGTTACGTTCAGGATACTTGATGATTTGATGGGCACCAACCTCATGCATCTATACCGTCTGTCGCGCAGCAATCTACGCGGACACAGTTTCAAACTGCATAAGGAGCCATTTAAAACAACAGTCCGACAGTGGTTTCTTCCCAACCGCATATTCAACACCTGGAATAGTTTACCTGAAAGTGTGGTTGGTGCTACTTCAGTTAATAGCTTCAAAGTGCAGTATGATAGCTGGAGGAGTGTACAAACTTTCTGGCTATGAACTGTATTTTTTTATTTTTTTCTATTTGATGTATTTGTGTTACGTGTCCGTACACTATATTTAGTGCATGAGCTTATAGTACTGTGTACTCTGCTCATCTCAATTATCATAATAATAATAATAATAATCTTGAAGCGGATCTTGGCGTTAAAAACTGTAGTTGTGATAACAATTCCGAAGAAACTATGGTTCCATGCAAGAGTTTTAACAAAAACAAATAACAGATCTATGCTTCCTTCTCACATTCAAAGACGTCATTTTAAATCTGTCTAACAGAATTTGATAGTCCGACCCACTTTGAGGGTAGACTCTATCGCACTTAAAAGCTAGATATTTAAGAAACTTTTTTTAACATAATCTATCCTATTTATATAACAGTTATAGTAGGGATTCCATATTAGGGATGCATACTCTAACTTGGATCTTATATAAGCATAATACAAAGTTTTTAGTGCTGTCAAATCATTAATTAGTTTACATTTTCTGATGAGAAAACCTAAGGTCCTATTAGCATTATTCACAATATTATCTATATGACAATCACGAACAGTATCAACTTGAGTGACCTCAATTCCCCCAATACTGATGCATATCTATTTTATGTAGCTTTCGGGATAAAGTAATTACCTTGCATTAAGCAATATTCAAATGTAACCTGTTTAGCATACACCAATCTTCCAGACGGCAAAGTTGCGTTTGTAAATGCTCACAATCTCTTTCACTATTAATATTAACATACAGTTTCAAATCATCAGCAAATAACAGTTTACCACAATCAATATAATCACATACATCATTCACAAAGATCAGAAATAATAAGGGGCCCGGGTTAGAACCTTGTGGCACCCCAGGTGACGTAACCATTGTAAGAAACGTACAGCTGTCGATTCCACAAGCAAGACATTAATAACGATTTTGATTTGTCAGTAAAACCAAATGAACCCAGCTTAGCAATGGGCACCCCATGATCAAACTTATAGAAGGTTTTAGAAAAGTCAGTGTAAACTGCATCCAACTATCCCTGATTATCTAGGACGTTCGAGGCTAACTGAGTGAATACTGCCAAATTGGTGACAGTTGACTTACCACACATGAACCCATGCTGGAACTCCGATATTTGAATATAGCTGGAAAGGTAGATGCAGTTGTAAAGAATTATTTCAAATAACTTGGCAAAATTATTCAATATTGAAATCGATCTATTGTTCTCAATTGAATCATGGTCACCCGCTTTGTAAATAGAACAAACCCTGGTTTCCTTCCCTTTATCTGGGAATTTAGCTGTAGATGATATGAGATTAAAAATCACCAGAGCATCTACTATACCAAGCGCACAATCCTTGACCAGAAGAAGATGGGAGCTTATCTGGCCCTGAGGTCATCTTGGACTTCAGTTTTTTTGCTGCATCACATATTTTATTTTCAGTTATACTCTCCTGATTTAAGTTGGCAATACATTGGATGTTAGAAGATAGGTTTTCACCGCAATACGTATCAGATGGAAACTAAACTGTCTTAAAGAATTCAGCAAAAGCATTTACAACTGACTGAGGATCACCGAAATCATTATTCCGATGAGTCATATGACATGGAATCCGTGATGTTTTGTTCTTTTGATATACAAATGACCAGAAAGAAGCGGGGTTATTTCTCACCGACTCTTGAACTTCTTGCAACCTTCAATTGTGATTTGATGAGTGATCTTAGTCTAATGAACTCATTTCTGTAAAAACTGTTTTTAGTTAGTTTCCATTTACGATGGTTTCTTGCCTTATCTTTTATGTTCTTAATTATTGACGAATTATACCATCTTGAAAACTTCCGCTTGAAGTTTTTGAATAATGGTACATGCTTATCCATAAAACTTTTTGTATAACTCGTCGACTGCTTTATTAACATCCTGAAATGCTTTCAAAAATGACCAATCAATGATAGTTAACTCATCGTATAATGCAACAAAGTGGGCTTTTTTGAAATTATATATACTTTATCTGAAGTCACTTGAAACACTGTGAAATACCGGGTGCGTTTTATATATCTATATTTAACACGCTCTGTTGCTGCAAAAATCGCCAAATTTCGCAGCAAGATCAAAGGCAGTTTCACCGGTCCACGTGGAGTAAAGCACGCCTATGCGTGGACATAGAAAATGAGAAAGCGTGTATTTCAGAGCTCCGAAAAAGTGCAGGTGGCTACTGAAAATTGAAACAGTTTAGCCAGTGCCGTGTAGCGGTGAATAAACGTATTTTCTTTAGTCTGTTAGTGTTTTTTCATAGATTTTATTAGTTTGTGTGTTTTTGACTTTTGAATACTCAGTTTACTTGTTGATTTAATTGTTGTGTTGATTGTTCTTGTGTGTCCTAAATATGGCTCTTTGGAGAACTTGGGAAAATGCTCCAAGCCACGAGGAGATGGTTGATGAACCTGTGCAGGCAGAATTCTTTCATAAAGATTTAGAGGAACAGACCCAAAGAGTAATCCTAAATATGTATGATTGTCTGATAAACGAAAA